AATGAATGTACAGTTTCTGGACAAAGCAGGTGCTCAAGAAGCACTGGTTTCTTGTCTTAAAGTGCAGTCTGGGCTGGGTCTCACCGGTGCAAAGGTGCACAGTAGAGGCCGGGGAAAGGGCTCTCAGTACCCAGCTCTCTCCTGTTCTCTTGGGTCCTCTAGTGGCAGGCACTGAGATTCCCATCACTAATCAGACTGACTGGAGTTGTGGGTCTCCCTGAAGCTCCAGGTTCAGTTTACTCTTTCATCTCTTAAGAAAAACCTGAGCAGAACATAGGTTCAAAGGGACAGGTCATGGGAAACAAGGCAAACAGGCATTCTGGGGTACAGTTCCCAGGGGTATCTACTTTGTAGACTGCAAGGCTTTTTATTTACCTATGGTTCCCACTTTCTTCTTTTCAAAAGTCTCAGGTTTTGAAAGCAGACTTTTCATGCCAGAGGCTTAGTGAGCTTTCAGAGCCCACAGTATCTGCACCTGGAGCCACAAAACCCAAGTCTGATGCTATTTACCCTGCATGTATACGCTCAAAGGCATGCAAGGTTTCCAGCGAGTGCTGAGCAGGAATACAAAGTAGTACTTACTGAGCACATTCTGCGTGCCAGATACTGTGCTTGTCTCTTTGATTTATATTAGCTCCTCCAAATCCTCCCAACAACCCTGGGAAGAGGGCATCCTCATCCCTATTTCGAAGATGAAGAAACTGAGGCCAGATTAGATAAGTGACCTGCTCAAATTAACACAGCAAAATATTTCAGAGTTCAAAGGGGTATTTAATATCATCCAGTCCAGTGCTTCTCCAAGTGTGGCCCCTGGACCAGCAGCGTCAGCACCAACTGAAGCTTGTTCGAAAGGCACATCCTAGGACCCCATCCAGACCTGGAGGTGAACCCAACAATCTGTTTTAACAAGCCCTCCAGGTAATAGTGATGCACACTCAAGTTTGAGAACCTCAGATGTGACAGTTAAAAGAGAAGTTCAAACAGATGAAGCAATGTGCCAGTGGTAATTGAACTGAGACCAAAGCCCAGGACAGCGGCTTTCAGAAGTTGAATTTTCCTTCCTGGGTAGCTTAGAATGCCCCTTTGTTGAGGAGTAGAGACTAAAGTCCATAGTACAACAGAGCACCGAACTGTGTTACTTTCCAGCGATATTGGCTGGGATGGACCCTGCACAGGAATGAGGAGACCCTTCCCTTTAGGCACTGGTGTCCTTCTCCCAAGACTCTGCTGATCTGTCTGCTCCATGACGTGGAACATGTGCCCCATCACCACAGCCCAGCAAGGAGAAGGACTAGATAGGAGCTTATGGGGGAACGCATTCAGAATTGAGATGGCATTTGCACACACTTCAACTATCACCTCATAAGCCTTGGGGGAAAGAGGTGATGCCTCTCATTTTCCAAAATCTTTATTTCTAAATCTATGTGTCAAGTTCTCACTTTCTCCTATACCCTCTGGCATTCTTGTTAACTGACCCAGAGAGACAGTGTTGGCCACCAGTGGCAGTTTGGTTGGAAGAAGAGTCGTCTTGAAGCTGCATTTGTATCACAGGCATGCTTTTTATGTGAGTTTATAGATGATATGCTTATTTGGGGTGGGATTCCAGGGGCTGATAAAGATTAAGCAGGACTAAAGTCTACCCAAGCTACCCCTTGCTTCTGCCATTGGTGACCACCAGTCTACAAGCACTTGTCCTTATTAGTTTGTGTTTGAATTCAATCAGAACCATAAGCTCTACACTTCTGGGCCAGTTTCTTCATCTCTAAAATGGACATAATCTTTGGTTTGTTAGGATCATGCCTGGTAATTTAAGAATACCTATTATTGTTATTGTTGAAACAGGGAGCCTGGGGGAGATGGAAACATACAAACATTAGAAACTTTTTTGTAAAACACCTAGCATTTACAAATTTATAAACACTTCCTACTTTTTGGAATAGAGCATAGAATTTACCTTTAAGACAGACTGTTCCTTTGATTCTAGAAAGAACCACCTGAAAGAAAATATTATGCATATATAAAACAAGTTACACTCTTTGTCCTGGGAACGGTGTGTATATAATTGTCTCCGCATACTCACAAATAGCTAGAAAAGATTTCTGGGGAAAGTGACATGAAGCATCTGACCCCTTCCTTTTGAGGATCAACGTTGTTAGAACCTGTCTGAGAAACTTTGGTAACTGGGCCAGGTGTCAGGGAAGGACAACAGAAGCCAGCAGGAGAAGACATCACAAAGAAAGAGGAGATCTGGACTGATGATGTAAACATAACTTCACTGAGGTCAGAAAGTCCACCTTCAAAGCGAGACCCCATTTCCCCGGCAGGTGGCAGGAGACAGAGCAGGGTGAGGGGTGACTCTCAAACCACTGTCAGTAAGCCTGGGGGTCCTTGGGAGGAGTTAGGCTGAAGAACCCCATGAAAAGACTGGACTTCCTGATCATTTGGCACACTAGGCTTATTGTCATCGCATTTTGGATCTTAGTGAACAATGAAAGCTGATGACCGGTATGAACCAGGAGAAAGAGAAGGGAGTAACCAAAGCTTTCACTAACCCTGTGTTGCTCAGCGGTAACCACCGGACAGAGGAGCTCTGAGGACAGACAACGCCAATTCATGAGAACCATGTGCTCCTCCTCAGGAAGCAAGACCCTCCAGAACTGAGAATGACAGGATGTTAACAATCGCAGGCTCAGATTCCTTACTGTGGGGGCAGAGGGGGCGAGTATAAATATGTTCACGTGCACACACACACAGGGCATGGGGGCTGAGAGGCTCTAAATTTCAGGGTCAGAAAAAAGAACTCAACACCTCAACCTCAGTAAAAGGAAGACTGTCCTGCTTGGTAAAAGGAGTTATCTTAGGATCTGAGAGCACTGATCATTGACACATCTCCAAAGTTTAAAAATATAGGAGTATAATATACCATTCTTCCTAGATTTCCCAGAATCACTAACATTGGGAGTCAGCAATTCTCAGGTTTTTTCACTCCTTGAGTGAAATGGGGAGAGAAGACATGAGAGATATATTCCTACCAGTATTATTTAAAATTCAGCCACAATTCATTCTTTTCATTGCAATCCAAAATGCAGATAGATAACAAGCAGCATTATCACAAGGGTAACCTTGATTCTGCTCTAATTTATTTCTTGATAAGTAAACTGTTCCCACATTTTAGTACTTTGCTTATAATAATTTATGTACAACAAATCTCACAACTGATGTGACTACCACAACTGCTTTAGAGAATATTTACCCTCTGGCGTTGCCATTGAAATCAACCATCTTCTGTGGAAGAAAGGACACAGTTGTATTAGGGAGACCAATAAACGAATACCCAATGCCAATGGATTTCTAGCTTCAATTGCTGAAGTGTTGGCACATTTACACCTGCCGTGTTTTTCCTACAGCACCAAGTGTTACAAGGAACCAGAAATAAGTCCTGATCTTAACGAACTTATAATTTAATCTCCTTCTGGAACCAAGACATGGACACATAATACAACTAGCAGATCAAATGAAGTTCATGGCCATCAATACATTTTTCTCTATTAAAGAGCACTGAGGGAATGCAAAAAGAAGGGACGATGGTAATGGAGTCGGGCTAGCAAATAAGCTGTGCTTTTCATGAGACCAATTCTTTAGCTGTTCATTGAAGAAGATGACGAACCTGGTCTGGAGCAGAAGGAGTAGCTACAAGAAGACTGTATGAGAAGGGGCTGACTCCACCAGAGAAGCCAAGATGAGAACGCCCAGACCTAGAAAGCCATTCACCCTCCCCTTTCCCACCGCAGTCACTTGCAGAGAATCTCAGGTTCAGACAATGTTCTTCTCTCTACTTGAGTGGGTTTTATTTTTTTAGAAAACCTCACAATGCAGTAACCAAACCCTTACTAGGAATAAGAAAGCATTTGCCTTGCAATTCTTGTCCCGCCACTGAATCAGTCACATTCTATAAAGGAATCCAAACCCCTATTCATCACTTCTTTTCAGAACTCATCTATAATTCAATCTACACTAGGAACCTTCACACAATGAAATGGCTTTTACCGAGCGATTACACACGTCACCTGGATGCAAAAGAGAGCACATTTTTCAAATATATTTCATGGACTCCAAGAGTCGTCTGAATTGTTTATGGGGAAGAAAAGGGAGGTTTATATGTTCCACTAGCCATGTGGAGAGTATGAAAGCCTTATATAATGGAAAGGAAACTGAAAGAAGTAAAATTAGGGTAACAGGGAGAAAGGGGGAGGAAGGCAGGCTGGCAAAATCATCAAATCTTAATTTCTTAATCTTAATACCAGTACTATTGTGTATTTCAAAAGTGAGTTAGAAAGACCCAATTCAGAAAAAAAATCTCACTTTTATACACTAAATCCATACCCAGATTGATTTTTATTTAACACGGGTGAGAAAGTGAGGGACAGAATCATGATGAAAGTGGAGTATAATACAGAAAGAAAACGCAAGAGGCCTTTACAACAAGATGCAAGACTAAACGATGAACAAGAACAGAGTAAACGGCCACCTGGGAACCACACGAGAAGATCCTCGCTTCACTGCAGGAGGCAGCAGCTCTCACATCTCTTACAACTAGAAACCTTCCCCCAGCAAGAGATTCAAAAGGCACGGGACTGAATTAATGCCCACCACGTGCTTTTTCTCTGTGCACTTATCTCCATGCGTCATCCTCCTTTGAAGCAAAGACTCATTAATCCAATTCAAATTGCCAACATCAGTAAACCCTTTCCCTCAGCATTTAAATGCCAATACCAATTAAATACCAACAGCAACTTAACTACTGATATGATCTTCACTACATTCAGGAAATCCAGCCAGAAGTCCAGCTAGCATTAATTCCAGCACTCCTCATCAATTCTAATTTACTCAGTGTAAAGAAACGAGGTAATTTGCTGGCCACGCTGATGATGCATCCAACTGGATTGAAATAACTCCACAAGCAAGTAAGAAGGAACAAACTGAGTTGCGATCCACCAAACCTGAAGGATGTCTTCACCAAGGCTTCCGGGCTATCAAGCGGGGGCAGTTCATCAGCTAGGATTTCCTCCGGTGGCCGGGGGTCGTGGACAATCGTTGGCCGTGGCTTCTCCTTGACATTCCCTGTGAGCCCATCGATGAGGGAGTTCCACAGGCAGTTCTGCGACTTAGACCCTGAAGAACGAGGGAAACAAGGTGTGCAAGTGAATTACCAATCAACTCTATGTCCCGCCTTGCCCAGCTCAGGATTTTCAAAAGCAGAGCAGGGAAATTTACCTATTTCTCATGATCTCCACCAACATCAGAGGACTCCAAAAGATACGGGTCAGGCAACTTACGGAGTAACCAGGAATTTTTTAATTTTTGTGCAGAAAATAGGCTAACACTCTGACTATTTTGAATCATAACTAAGTTTTATGGATATATATCCTGTCTCATTTCAGTGGTGATCAACCCAAACTCCTGATAGAGCCACAGGTATCTACTTAGGAATTTGTTCAGCAATTGGAAGCATACAAAGGACTACCTTTAGAGAAGAGTAAAGATGCTCAAACACATGTCTCCCCTATGAACTCAGCTTGCGTGAGGCCCAAGTTTCAAGACTTTGGGAGACACTGATGCCATAGAGGGCCCCACCTCTAAGAACCAGAACTCACCACAGACAAGTTCATTCTTCTGGAAGATCAAGATCCAAGGAAAATTACACTGCATGTTTACTGACATCTTACTCTTCAAATACCTCAAACACATGAGATGAATGTTAAAGGCAGACACGAAGTGGATACGGTGTCACAAAATAGGGCCGGATCAGCCAGGTAATCCAGGTCAATATCAACAGTGATAAGTTACACTGATATTATGTATCCTTCATATGATGTGACGAAAATGGCGCTTTACCTCTGTAGTGTTCCTCCCCAAAACACATAACTCCAGTGTTTTAAGCATGTTTCTAGCTTCTGTAAACTTGATGCTTTAAGATCGGCCCTACATACATACCCCAGAATCCCAGACATGCCTTGTTCTGGACAACCCAATAATATGCCTGAGTCACCTTGCCTTGGCCTCCTGCCTCCCTCATCTTCCACCTCCTCCCTTCCTCCAACTCTTCAGGAAGAGTCCTCCTCCCAGGGGCATGCTTTTCAAATACAAACCAACCAATCCAGAGCCTACATCCCTAACACCCCCCTCACCGAGCTTTCACACTCCAGGCTACTATCCACCTGCCCCAGTCATCCCAGGACTGTGTACCAGACAACTAGGGACAGCTCTAATGCTCTAGAGACCACTGAAGTCATTCAAACGAGCCAATCCTAAGCCTGCTTACCCTGCCTCGCCTGTTCCTTCCTGCAAAAACCACAATAAAGACTCTTTCCCATAGTTCCCCTTCTCCCTCCGCCTCTTCAGTGACTCCAGCGCCTCTCAGTGTGGCCTCCATGGTGTGACATCTAACCCCGTTTTGGGGGTCTGTGAATATTAACAAACTATCTTTTCAATGACCATCACCCCCTGATCTCTTGGCCTTACCATACCTAAACAATAATTTGCTGTTAGTGCCCTCAAGTCGATTCCAAATGCTAGGGACCCTGTGTACAGCAGAGCAGAACCCTGCGCAGTCTTTTTGCGCCATCCTCTTACCTTCCGGTGCTGTAGCAGACAATGCTCTGGTTCTATTCATAGGGTTTTCATGGTAAATTGTCTCAGAAGTGGGTGTTCAGGTTCTTCTTCCTACTCTGTCTTAATCTAGAAGCTCCGCTGAAACCTGTCCAACATGGGTGACTCTGCTGGTATTAGAAATACCAGTGGAACAGCTTTCAGCATCACAGCAACAGGCAGCCACCACAGCATGACAACCGACAGATGAGTGATATGATTCCCTGACTGGACTGGGAAAAGAACCTGGGCCATCGCGGTGAGAGTGCAGAATCTTAACCACTAGACCACCAGGGCTGGCTAAATAATAATAAAACCTATTAAAACACCCAGTCTAGTCATGGGGAAAACATCAGACAAATCCCAGCTAAAGGACATTCTACAAAACACCTGACCAGTACTCTTCAAATCTGTCAAGGTTATCGAAAAACAAGGAAAGTCTGAGAAACTCCTCCAAGAGGAGCCTTGAAGATATGATGACTAAATGTAATGTGGCATCCTGATGGGATCCTAAAACTTAGAAAGGACATTAGGTACAAACTGAAGAAATCTGAATAAAGCATCTTAATAATAATGTATCAATATTGATTCATTAATTATGACAAATGTCCCATACATTGCAATTTAAGAGGTTAATAATAGGGGAAACTGGGTGAGGGGTATATGGGAACTCTTTGTACTATCTTTGCAAATTTTCTGTAAATCCAAAACTGTTCTAAAATAAAAAGTTATTATAAAAATACAAATAAATAAAATACTATAAATAAAGTTATTATAAAAGAAGTCTATGAGCAAACTTTTTTTAAAAAGTAGAGCCTGAGGGCCTCATCACCATCACCCAGTTGCCATGGGCTTGTGCTGGGTTTCCTCTTCCCAGAGGAAAGAAAGCATTTCCCTTTGCACAAAGATACTGTCCAGTTGCCAAGCTATGCACCCATGGAGCTGTCCACCCAGAAGAGGTTGGCTTTTTCTACCCCATCCATGCAGAAGGAGTACCTTTTTCTAACTCACACAAAGGCTCTTCATGGGGCATAAGGAGGTGTGCATGGAGGGGTAAGAAGCAGTGACAGCTAACACACATGCGTGTGACAGGTGTGTACAGACTAATTTGTATGCACAGGGGGGCACCTCCCCAAGACCCTGACCCGCCGCCTGCAGCCCACCATAGAAGAAATCACTGTGGTTTGTTGTGCCTGAAGGACAGCTCTGTCACCAAGACCAAGAGAACTTCACACACAAAAGGGAGCCCCTCACGAGGATCCCTGAACCTTCAAGGACACCCAGGGGTCAAACAACTCTTTTGGTCTAAGGACCATGGCCATGACTGACCCCCTTGGGGTGTCCCATATCCTAACTGCTTGTTGTGTCAATCAAGAGAAAATTAAAGCACATTAGTGGCAGGAAACAGACCCCTCCCACTTCTGAAATGCAAGACAGCTCTTTTAAACTCCTAAACATATATCTTAATAAGATTTGGTCCTATTAACGAAAGTCTGGTTCTACGTTAACAAAGGTCTGTTCTATGTTAACCAAGGTCTGGTTCTAGGAGGAAACACAACAGCAGCAGCCTGTTTTCTTAAATTTGATCTAAGTGAAGGCCTTACAATAAACTTCCTCCCCATTTCCCTTCATTCTTTCATTTACTCATTCGATATATACATATTGAATTCCGTCAATATGCCAGGTTCCATTCTGGACCCCAGAAATAGAAAGATGAATGAGAATGTTCCCCTTGGGAACCCGTCAACCCATAAGCAATCACAATAAATGGGCAATGCACCATATCTAAGGGGCAAATAAAAGGCTACAGCGAGCAGAGGAGAGCTCACCCACTCTGCCTTAGGGCCCTGGAGAGAGCTGAGCAGAGGACATGACCTCGACGTGGGTTTAAAGCAGGAACAGATCTTCAGCAGGTGGGGAAGAGAGAAGAACATTCAGTGCAAAAGGCACGTGCAAAGGCTCAGAGGCATAACAAAGCAGCTTGTCAAGGCTGGAGCAAAGGGAGAGGGGGCAGTGAGCAGAGATAAGGCCAAAGGCTGAGGGGGCCAGTTGTAAAGTGTCTTGAATAAAATGGTAATCATTTTAGAATTTCTTCTGTAGGCAAAAAAGAACTAAAGATTTTTAAGCAAGGTTGTGGTGACATGAGCATATCTGTGTTTCAGAAAGGAAACCAGTGTGTCATAGAGCAGTGACCCTGTGAGGAAAAGCAGGGCTGTAGGAAGGGGTTCATGGACCCATTTCATCTGTAGACAAAATAACAAAGTCTTACATATATATATATATATATATGACTGACTTTTAAGTATATGTGGATGTGATGAATAAACTACAAATTCATGTCAAAGTGCTACATAGTTTTTTCAACATTTTCTCAGTCAGTGAATCAGAAGGATCACATGACCTAAGCATTCTCTTCATTAGAGGTCCCAAATGGACGTGACAGCACCTCCAGAAGTTGTACTAACAGCTACAAAGACACTGGCAAGTTTAAGAGAAGACTGTGTTATAAGCTATGAATAGGATTCACTCAACATTCATTCCCAATCCCCTGTTCACTTGCATTCCTCTTCTAAAGAGGCAAGAAAACAATATATTCCACTTCCCAGCCTCCCTTACTGCTATGGCTAACAATGTTATAATTCTGGCCGATGAAATGTGGGTGGAAATTCCTGGGGCTAGAGTCTCTTTTTAAGCAAAAAAGTAAAGTCTCAATAGGACAAAAACGTTTTTGTCCCTTTAAACTTTGCCCCTTTTTTCCCCTTTGCCCTTCTTTCTTCTTCTCACTGGAAGGTGGACGTGGTGTTAGAGCTACAGCAGCCACCTTGTGACCACGAAGTGGCAAGCATTACAACAAAAGCTGACATCTTGCATATGGAAAAGTGGAAAGGCAGAAAGAACCTGGGTTCCTGACAACACAGTTGAACAACTTCCCTGGTCTCTCCCATCTCCAGATTTTTTGTTGTGAGACATATAAATACCCACTTAGTACATTCTTAGGTCTTTGGTTGTTTGCAACCAAATGCATTCCTAAATGTTACATGTATGCTTATCACATAACATAAAGGTATTCCCCATATCCAAATGGTACCATCGATAAAGCACTAGAAACTGATATCTTAATAAATCCTCCAACTATCTTCTGAAAGTCATAATTACATTGCATACTTTTCTCATGTTAAATTGTTAATTTGTTAAACGTGAACAAACACAGCAGAATTTTTATAACCTATTTTAGCATTTCTTCACTTTTTTTAAAATTCTGGGAAAGTCAAAAAATAGAAATGATCTGTGTTTCTCTTGACCTTTGAGAGCCAAGAGAATAATTACTCTCATGGGGTGGCCTGTGATTTTGTTTTGTTTTGTTTGTTTTTTAACTTAAAAAGTGGGGAGGGGGGCCGGCCCGGTGGCGCAGAGGTTAAGTTCGCACATTCTGCTTCTGCAGCCCGGGGTTCACCAGTTCCGATCCCGGGTGCAGACATGGCACCACTTGGCAAGCCATGCTGTGGCAGGTGTCCCACATATAA